AACGTGAAACTTGTGTAACATAGAGTTAAGCTACATGTTACTTCGAAGAGAAACGTCTACTCTGCAAACATCGATGAAAATCAGTAGCGTGAATGGAGCGCGTTGCTCTCTGCTTCTGGAAAGTTTTCCGTTTTCTACAACAAACGTAGAGTAACGTGGGGTAATTCAGTAATTTTTTGGTATCCTTGTATTTTTGAATATCTTTGTTATTTTTGGGGATTTTCGTGCGCACTTTTGCTACAATATAAGAAGGACTCTTAGCTACCTGCCTGTGAAAAATCGTCTTCAACACTTTCAGGGTAACGATCTTAAAAGCGGATTACTGGATTGCCCCACGGACTTTCTTGAATTGGCACATTAGGGGCTATTCAAGAAAATATATAGTTCTCGTTGGGGCAATTCAGTAGTCTCGTTAAAAGTGAACGATGTTTTTTGTTTTTTATAAAAGCTAATTATCTGAGGAATAATTAGATATTGTTAACAAGAGTTTTATATCATTGAATTCCTCTTACTCTCAAAAACACACTGATATCAAACTCCAAGTTATCCGACCAAAACTCACTGAGATTCTCTCGAAATAACAGACATCGGTCAAATAACTCGATTCTTGAATTGCCCCATCTGGGGTAATTCAAGAATCACGTAGAAAGCAATGGGATAATTCAGTAATTTCCGGTGAAATGGCTGGAGGAAACTGGTCAGTCTTGAAACCCTATTCTCCTAGCCGTATATGAACAAAACTGAAAAATGTGTTTGTTTATAGAAGCCCCCTGAGCTTTAGATGTGGTCTAAATCATTTGTAAAGTCAAAAACGAACGAGATCAATCATTCTCTGGGTTTTTATAGATTCTGCGGTTAAGAACTATTTTCCTTGCATATCTTCCCCTATCATAGATTATCTTAAGAATGGTTCGCACATACGTCAGGGGAAAAGAACAGCTGTCCACTGATAATGATCTAAATGAAGCAATAAAATTAATCAATAAAAATAAACTAAATGTTATTGATGCTGCCAATAAATAGGAATTCCTCAAAACACATTGTACAACCGTGTATCAGGTGTAAATGGCTGTGGCTCCCCAGGTCGGAAAACGATTTTATCTAAACAAGAAGAATCGTATCTTGCGGATATTATTAAAAAAATGCAAGAGTATAACCATCCCATGTCTAATTCAGATGTAATTAAATTAGCAAGATTTTACATGTTAGAATTAGGAAAAACTGTTAAAGAAAACGGTCCTGGAAAAGATTGGTTCTATGGATTTATGGAGTGGTGGTCTCTTGAAATAAAAATAATGAGAAGTGTTAAATTGGAAAGAGTCAGAAGTAATTCATTACCAGTTTGTGTTCTTAAGAGTTGGTTTGACAAATTATCTTTAATCCTCGATACGTTAAAACTATTTAATAAACCTGATCATATATTCAGTTGTGATGAAAGTGGATTTTCAGATGATTCTGGAACAAAGTCCGTCGTGGTAAAATGTGAGACAAAATTTCCAAATGCAGTACATGGCGGATCCGGAAAGTCGCAAACAACCGTTCTTTTATGTACATCAGCCGCGGGCAGGTAAAAAACAAAGCTTATCTGTATTCAACGACTGAAAGTAGTATTTATTATCTCTATAGATGTTTACCGCCCTATATTCTTTGTAAAGGCAAGGGTTTATATAATACTTGGTTTCCAAAGGAGAATTACCCAGGTACGATGTACAAAGCGAATGAGTCCGGGTGGCTGGATGAATCAACATTTTTTGATTGGTTTAAGAAACAATTTATTAAAGAAACAAAAGGCATACCACGTCCACTTCTTTTGATATTGAACAACCATTTTTCTCATATCTCATACTGTACAATGAAACTTGCATTGGATAATCAAATTCATATTTTGGCATTGCCTCCTCATACTACAAGCGCTTTACAACCGCTTGATGTATACACATCGAAAATTGTTAAAACACAATGGCCGAAATTATTACAAGATTATTATTTAAAGACTAAAGTCGATAATGTAGATCGATCAGTATTCCCTCTAATATTTAAAAAGTTATATTCAACAGCCCTACGACCTGCTTATATCGCCACCGGGTGATATCTTCATTCCATCAGCCACAAACAAGCATCGACGTCATTCATCATTTCAAGGTGATCTAACGAAGTTCTGTTTTCATAATAGTTTTCATCTTTAGTATATAAAATTCCTCACGTGTTTGATTCTAGATGATACAACTTCAAGTATTCAAAGGGCAATAACTGTCAGCCTTGATCAATACTTGAAGCCAACATTTGAAGCCAACACTTGTTAAAAACATAAAACGTAGAACAATGATTGAGCGTTATTCTGGTGACAGTTTGACAAGCATCGTTGCATTACAGACGGCTCAACCCGGTCACAAGGAAGGACGCATACCCTCAGTCGATGGCTGAAGAACTCTTCAATCGCCTGGCTGGTCACAAGTTCTTCACAAAGCTGGATCTCAAGTCTGGCTATTTCCAGATCCCAATCGCCGAAGCCGACAAGGAGAAGACGGCCTTCATCACGCATGATGGTCTTTACGAATTTAACGTTCTAGCTCAAGGCCTCATGAACGCCCCTCCTACCTTTCAGCGGGCAATGAACGAGCTCCTGGCGAACGGACGATGGGACTATGTCGTCGTATATCTCGATGACATCATCATCTTTTCCAAAACGATTGAAGAGCACAAGCGTCATGTGGGCGAGGTGATATCCATCCTCAATCGGACCCGCTTCCAAGTGTCCCCACCAAAGTGCAAGATCGCCGAGGAGAAAATCGAGTGTCTCAGCCACATCGTCACGGCTGACGATGTGCAACCATCCCCCGACAAAATTCAAGCCATCATCGAAATGGCACCTCCTCGAACTCTCTCTCAAGCGAATCGCTTCCTTGGCAAAGTCAACTACTACCGCAAATTTATCCGTGACTACGCCAAAATCGCCGGTCCCCTTCACAAAGTCACCAACAAAACCAAGCACGCAAGGCATCTCTTCTATTGGCACCAGGAACAACAACAAGCCTTCGACCGCTTCAAAGAAATCCTAACTTCGGCACCGCTATTCCTCAACTTCC